AACTGCTCTACGACGAGATGCAAAAAATCAGAAGTATCTTCCAGCATCACACAGTTAGCTATTTAAGTTTTAAGAAGCATTCACGTTTTCTCTCTGAAAAGACCTTCACCCTAAAACGCATTTCTTGTGACTGCACTGGAGTGGAAGACGGGGCATATAGTATACCGTGTGGACATATATATGGAGTATATATACTCAAGGGGAATTGCTCACCATGCTTTTTCAGGGCTAAAGGTGGATAGCTGAAAAGAGGTTCTGGTTCAAACACAGCCCAGGGCCTCAAGTTTCTCATCCAGAATCAAGAGCACATAACAAAAACGTTAAATAAGGCTAGGATACCGTCTACTGTTACTTCAGTCTAACCAATTAGTTATGACACTAGCAATATATTAATGATAACTGCATGTACCAACACACAAACTCTGCGAGCATGTGAGATGTCTTGGACTACAACTCCCACCACCTCTGATCATTGGCCATGTTAGTTGACCGGAGCTGTATTCCAAAACATCCAGGGGACGCAGTTTGCCTACTCCTAGAATACCTAGGGAGAAATGGGGAAAGGTCTACTGACTTGATGCCCTGCGCCCAGAGAATGCCAGATGGGACTACGGGCTAATCCCACAGGGTTTTTACCTGTGCAAAGTGCTGTTTTTACTGCAAGAAACCAATATAGCAACCCTTTTGGGATTTTACACAGTTCAGTAAGCCATGCTGTTGTATTCACAGAAAGAGTCACACTAAAGATAGCTTTTTGTCCCGTTATTCATAAACTCATCTGGGGTGGACAATGTGTGCCCCTTTAGATTGTTTCACCCAGGACTCTCCTCAGCCCTGGGCAGCATAGCCAATGGCAAGCGCTCATGGAAGTTATAGGCCAAAATATCTGAACAACCAGAAAGCATCCACCCAGTACAGCCCCACGCAGCGTACCAGTATTTTGCTCATCTAACATGAAACAAGGTTTACGTCCCCATCGTAAACTCAAGAGAGAAAGCCAGCCGCACTGCTAGACTTTACACCCCTACACTTCCTTCTGTCCCAGCAAGGAACGCAGTCCTCTGCCATTCTCAACTGCAACGCAAGACTGAATGCCACCAGAGCGGATCCATTCCCCACTGACACCCCATCCGCAGAGGAACGCAAGACGCTGCCTTATACCGACCTGGACGGAACCACGCTCCAGCTAGGCCAGCGTTGTCGACACTGACAGGCAGCGGCTCTCCAGCGCTTTTTCGTTCCCTGCCTGGGAATGCTGGGGATCGAGCTGTTAACTCCTGCCCAGTCTGCGGTCCAGTTGAGGCCCCGCTCCTCCACACTCCCGGCTCTGCCTAGTAGGATGGGCTTCCAGATTTCCGTCTAGGTAAGCGCGCATGTATGAAGTCGCTGCCCGACATTCTCAACGCGCAAATGCGGAGCCACGGCAGCCGTCTCCGTCCCGGCAAAGCCCCGAAGCAAAGCTCCGCGGCTACTCCCTGCCTGCATCTGGCGCAAGGCCTCTTCCCCGGGCCAGCTCCCCCGCAGCCTCCACCGCATCCCGGGCATTCCCCCCCACCCTCCCCCCGCTCCGTTCAGGCGACCCCCGCGAGGACCAGGAACGGCGTCGCCACCCCCAAAGGAGCTGCGCCGGGAGCGCGGAATCCCGGCTTTTAGAAACCGGGCCGACAGTGGCCCAAAGACACAGGATGGATTCGATACGCGACGGATATTGGCGAGGACAGGCAGCCACTCGCTACTCACCAGGGCAGCAAGATGGCGGAAAAAGGAAGGCGGCTGGGTGTGCGCGGGGTGTTATGGGAAATAGAGGCGGCAGGAAAACAGGGAAGCGAGGAAGGCTCTCGCGAGAGTTTCCTTCTCAATTTCCCTCTCCTCACGTGAATGGGAAAGTAGACCCTTCTGTCTGGGAAATTATCCTTGATAGTTAATAGAGGAGAGAGCAGCAGCAGCGGCCAGAGTAATTAGACTGATAGTGCAATTCTTTATACTTAATACCAAATTTCACTGAGTTCAATGGGAATTAAACTGCATCTTCAGAGTATAAGTTCTATTTAACTCATACAAGCTTCCTTCTGAATAAACATGGATAGTGTTGTATTGTTGGAATACAATCCTGTGCATGTTGGCTGAGAATATTGGGCGTTGTAGGGCTTTTTCTGTATAAAGGTGCATAGGGCAGTGCCCTTAATGTGTTTTAGATCAATATACAAAGCTTGGCTTCTGATTCTTTTGGCTTTCCTCCACTGCCTGCCCTTTGAGTAGAAAGAACTGCTCATGGAAATTGGGGGGTGGGGGGATAAGGATGTGTTTTCTTGCGATGGCTACAGCTGCGCTTGGCCTTCCACAAACAGAAAGAAACAACAATGGGTACATGCTATATCCAATATCTCGATTCATGAAAGATGTTTCTGAAGTTCTGAACTGTTTAAAAGCACAACACTTGTAAATGAAAGTGAACACACTACAAGGCCTTTTTGTGTGAGAGCCCTGGATTCTGGCTAGGAAGAGGTCATTTAAATGGAGGAAATTAAAACCAGGCTCAGTTCACTTCTAATCTTAGATGACAGTGGATTACATGGCAGAGTCATCTTTATTGTTTCAGTACTATCATTGAAGCAGTTTGAAACAGAGTACATGGCTTCTCTCTCCACATTTTAGCCTCACAAATACCTTGTGGGGGAAGTTAGACTGAGGGACAGTGACTGGCTCAAAGTCACCCGGTGAAGATGTGATCCCCAGTAGCCCCAGTCAAAATCCACCACACCATTCTGCAGTTCTTGCTCAGGGTGGATTGCCCAACCTGCAAAACAGGAATAATGGAAGTGGGCCACATTGTAGGGTTGTGACCTGCAACTTGGGAAAGAACAGCACTGAACAACACTACATTGCCTGCTATTCTCCCAACCTCAGACTGACTCCCACCCACCCCAATCTCCAAGAGGATGTTATACTGCAGCATTACATTATTTCAACCACGCTTAACTTGCCCACCTGCAAAGGGAACTACACTGCAGGGCTTCCTAGACCCTTATCCTCCCAGCACAGCCCACCCAATTTGCAGTAGGACAGGACTTCATTAGGACTGGATGATGATGCAGAAGGGCTACGTCTTAAAACTGCACAGTTTTCCATCCCTACCTGAAATGTCTATGGCTAAAGATGAACACAGGAGTCTGTCTCAAGCGCACCAAGCTCTCGGCGCTGTGTCACTCTTCACTTTTCCTATCTCTGTGGCGCATGCGAAGGCGCCAGGAAGAGGCCGGGCCTTCGGAGAACAAACTCCCGGCGGCCCTTTCGGTCACGGTATCCAATAGCAACCAGCACGCTTCCGGAAAGGAAATGGGAAGAGGATGTCTCGGCCGGGCGATCTGTTGTGCAACTTTTCCCTTCTCGTTGCAGGCGGGCTTGGCGCGAAAGCAGCGGGCATAGAAGCATCGTTACGGAATGATGCATGTATAGCCTGCTTTTTCTCCAAGTGGCTCAAGGCAGCTTACAGAGTTCTCCCCTCGCCTTCGTTTTTTCCTCACGAGACCGCTGTGAGGTAGGTCGGACATGCACGACAGGACCAAGGCCACCAACGGCCCAGTCCTGTGCAGGCCTAGACAGAAGAAAAGCCTGCAGTTCTCACCTTGCCTTTGTTCAGCTTAAGCTTGCATGAGATTGCACGCCAAGTCTAAAGATCTCATCCTGCATCTCCCTGGTCCTAGGTAACACTTTAATCCAACAATTCTCTACAGCTTGTTGAGGTCAAGGCTAAGAAATTTGCTACTGTTTATGAATGTGTCTGTAAAGTTGAGCACTCATCTAAAATTGGGCCTGACAGAATTTCATAACCCAGACACTAGGTTTCCCCCTAGGTTGTGAACTGACAGTGCAAATGGGATTTAGGAAGAAGGGGCTTACAAGGGAAACAAGTATATTTAATATTAGTTAAGACCAGTGTATATCTGAGTAAGTGGCAGGCCCTTTTAAGAGAGCAATCCCATGCATGCTTACCTGGAAGTTCAGTCTTAGAGTTAGGGTCTTCAGTGGGGCTTATTCCTAGGCAAACATACATAGGATTGCAGCCTGTTCGCCATATTAATTTCTCTATACTATCCCTTATGTGGCATCATGCTGGGATGAGCCCATAGCTTTCTTGATTAAGACTGAAAACTAGCCAGAGGGAATTTGAACTCTTCTTTAGGAAAACTAGAAATGTTAGATGGTGTGCTAGATTTAAAAAGGAAGCCAAATGGGGTAGCTTTCTCATTCCCAACTGCAAATCTTTAATAATGGGATGGCCCTTTCAGAATCAGTAGAGAAAGGCGTCATTCATGAATGCCTGAATGTTTCCTCCCTTCTAAAGTCCATGACTAGCTAAGGAAACTGGCTATCTTGGGCAAGTAAAAGGCTGTTGCTTTTCTTCAGCAGTTAAAGATAAGCCTATCCTGAACAGTGCTACATGGTTGTCAGCTATCATAATGCCCTTTATTCTGGTCTAATTCCAGCCATATAGCTAAAATGCAGTTTTCCACCAAATCACTGGATACAACTCTCGTAAGTACAAATTCACTGTGCACTAGAATGGGAAACTGTCTCAGTCATGGATAGAAAAGTTACAAGGCAATTTGCCCTATTAGAAAAGGCTACTTCTCAACCCACACAATTAGTGAAAGGACTAACAACATAGCTCCTCTGTCGGCTGTGTAGCATGTAAGGTGTAACAGCCTTGCTAACTTGAGGGCGACTACAACCCACATCCCTGCAAAGGGAAAATGAAGTCTCAATCAGATGTGGAAAAGAATTCAGCCTCCAGCACTGATGCAGGAAGCATTTTCAATGAAACTTCTCCCAACAGACAATATGCAGTTTAAAATGGGATGTGATACAAAATCTAACCTGAGAGATGCCTCAAAACCTCAATGACAGCATTAGGGCATTGCTGGTAGGCTCATATTTTGCTAGCTCATTTTCCCTTGTTAGAGTAAAAAAAGAACATAGGAAGATGGATACACACTCAGTAAGATGTCAGTCTTTTTTTATTTTAGCTTTCTAGGTATACATTTATCATCCATTTGTATTACACATCAATGCAATCAAAATGAAAACAGCAATTCTGACCAAAAAGGCAAGTACATGAAACCGATTCCCCCTCCCTGCAACAGTGTCTTCATCTACCATTACACCCCATATACATTTCCATTATAGCATTATTTTCCTCACATGACACAGCATTTCTCTGAAGTCCAGTAATTGGATTTAAGTATCCTGTCTAAAATATAGATAACAAAACGGAGTGGGAGGATGAGAAAGGGAGACGGTGTTTTTGAGAATACTAGTTCCAGTAAGTCCTGCTTAGTTATTAAAGAATTCCAAAGCTGTTTCTGAATTTCATGGATGTTACTTTCTCTTCAGTGCATGCTCTGTCGCTAATACGTGTAACTGCAGGACACATGGATCACTACATAACTCCCACTGCTACTTGGCAACGATAAAATTACCACTGCAGGATACTTGTTACATTAATGTCCAACTGAAAGTGTGTTCTGAAATAGAAAAATGACAGCTCGCCGCAATGATACCACATTGCTATACTGAAACATTGACTGAAGGAGCTGTGATGGAGTGGTTCTTGTAATAAACACGCATAGGACACTGTCCTATGCATGTTTAAACAAAAGTCCAACAACTGCCCTAAGGAATGGTGAGCGGTAGGACATGCAGTGGATGGCTTTCTCTGTGTTATTACCTGAACCTCCAGGAGTAACCAGCCATTCCAGCAATCGGCAGGCTTCAAGGTATGGCACCTCATGAAGTAAGGTAGTAGTGAGGTGGATCTAATGAGTCTGAAATTGGTGTTCCTTTGGTTTTGAAAAACCAGAATCTTGATCAAGTCCAACTGTCACAAAAAGGATCTGTTACTCCATGGGCATCCTTAAATATGGCGTTATGCCAATAAGTAGCCTGAAGAACCTTGCCTTTGTGTGGCTGCCCATACTCCACAATGAAAGGATAAAACTGAATGAATTCAGCAAGTAATTGTGTGAGGGGCTGGGGTAGGAACTCCAGAATGTTTTGGCAAGTTTTGCTCTTACTGTCTTTCCAAATAAAGCCTAATGCTGCCATTTTAAAGTGGAAGCTTGCCATGGGGGAGAGAATCATCATTTTTAGATATGTTTTAGCAGATGGGAAAAAAGTTACTTTAATATAGGCCAGTCCTCTGTTTTGCCACCACTCGATTACAATTATGCATCCCTTTTAGTTCTGTGCAGGTATAATTGGACCACATTCCATTCTTTGCTAGCAGTGATTATAGCCTTTTCAGTCATTATTGGCAAGATAAAGACAGACTAGTTAAATTGTCTCTTCTTCCCCCCCAGAAAAAAGTAGAAAACTGTCAGAAATTTAGTTTGGTAAGATTAGAATGAGGCAGAGCTACTGTCTGTATGGCAGTAATGTAAGGACCAAGCCTCTCGCTACACTTTTTACTAAGCAAATAAAGGTAATGAAAAAAACCAAACTTCAAGGTTTCCGAAGTCTATATTTTCAAGCTGATAATAACACTGTTCATCCATTTGCAAATAAGACCGATGTGTGACTTTAAAACCCACATTTAAGATGCCTAGCTTTTTAACAAGTTACAACTTTTACTTATGTTTAGTAGTAAAAACAATAGAATTAAGAACACAAATAACTCCTAAGACAGACATGTTGACAAGACAGGTGCATCAAATATTTACCATGATTTTGAATACATACCACATTTAAAAAATTAAAGACCCATTTGCACATCAGAACTACAGCAATTTAAATAATAGAAACAAGAACATTCACTGACTGTGCATGCTGACTTCAGCTTCCCATAGCTTCAGTGCAATAAGCTGTACTACAGAGTTAGAGACAACTTGGATGCAATGTTGGAGTTCAGGGGCCATGTTTATTCAAACTATTGCCACAACTTCCTAAGACATTTTAATAGTCAAATTTGAAGGGTATCATGAAGTAGATCTAGACAGCCCAGTGAGCCTCAAAATACTTAACAGAAATGAAGAATTTTAGCTGGTGCCTTTCCACCAAAAACAGTAACAAAGAACATTTTCACACAAATGTCATCAGTTTACCACCACCATTACTCAACAACCTTATACTATGAGGTTCCTAGTTATGCTCAATGTAAAATACTGTCCATGTTAGCAGACAGCACTATGGTGTGATTCAGACACCACAGTGTTCCTATTTAAACAGCAGAAGAGGTGGCCATTTAAAGTTAAAAGGCAATGACCAAAATTAAGCACTGCTATACTTTTAAACATACAATAATTCACTGAATTGTTCCCAGAACACAAGTTATGCTATGGAGCGAAATAGCAAGTAAAGCTTCATTCATTTTTCTTCTCCTTTTGCTTGAGGAGTTTGTTGACCTCCCTTCTTGCCATTCCAGCATACTTTGAAATTATTCCATGCTTGTTTAATCCAGGAAACAACAAGAAGCAGTTCACTTGAAGAAAAATTAAGAACATGTTACCATCAGATATGCTATTTAAATGTCATCTAATTTATTGGAAAAAACATTGCTCTCCACTGTCACTTTATACACTGCTTACCAATAAGATAGGTGAGGAAGAGGTTGTGAACTTGCTGTCCTATCCAGGCAATCACAGCTAATGAACACAGCATGGTCATAAAATACTAGAAAAGAGAACAGAGAGCTACTTAGTCATTTTGTTCCAGGGTGGGAAGAGGAACTAAGTCAAATCCCCACATCTATGTTCTACCATACAAAGAAGTCAAGCGGGGTGGTGTGCACTTTCTAAAGTCTGCAATTCAAAAAACCGTAACTGCCAGTGCAATTCATAATCTTTAGTCAGAGCTAGCATGTTTTTAAAAAAATCTATTAAGACAATCACATAATTTCATTTTAGCAATTGAAAGCTTTTTAAAATACATATAAGGCAGTATGGTCTTATGAAGCAATATATTTGCAATAAAGCTAAAACATTCACAGAACCAGTTAAATTACCATTTTAGGTTTTTCCTCCTTAAATGTGAAGAGACGTTTCCACCAACCAACAATCCTGCGCCTTGTTTTTACCAGGTTGCTACAGATTTCATGGAATCGTTGCTGTTGTTCAGTAGTCCTTTAAAGAAAATATTTCAAACAAATCATCACATTTCATCTTCTGAAATTGCATACTTGACATTATACACTTTCAAAAAGGCATTCTTTCCACCTCCCTTCATCAACTTCTTGATACAGTGTTTGCCTCCTTCAAGTGTACATATAGTTGATTTAACCCTGTTACAGATAGCATAGACAGAGGATTGAGGAGATACATATTGTATATACACAATATATATCATGCACATTATATATTTTTCTCCATCTATAATTAAGATTAGCAGTGGTTTCATAAATTTGTTCAACATTTTAATAGAGTAAAAGTTGCATTCACTTGCAGATGGTACACACTGTGAATTACCAGATATTTTGAACAATTAATAATCATGAACTATAACCCTGTGTTTTATTAAACTGTAATATTTCAGGCCATCTCTCAGAACGTTGCAGGAGTGATTCTATTACTAGTTTTTACACTGAGATAAAATTAAAAAAACCCAGTGGCTTTAGTCCTCATACCTACCATTTACTGGAGCCAAAAATTCTAGGTGCAAGAGCAGGTACAAGGTAGTCAGCCAAACAAAGCAACATGACAAAGCAAGAAACACCTGAAAGAACAGATGGGTCCAAGTAGTATATCATCCTGTTGGGAAAAGAAGCAAAGTTGTTGCATGGATAGTACTAGAATTAGTGTGTGATCTTGGGCATGTTTAGACAGAAATGAGTTGTACAACTCTCTCCTAGGGCACGCTGGGAGTTACAGGGATTATATCTGCCTAGACATGCACAGGAACATGCTATTACATATTTACAGGAAAAATCAGGATAATCAGGCTGTCCTAAGAAGTAAGAGTTGCATTACAAATCAATTATAAAATGATTGTGTTCTTGGATCACTCTGATTTAGTCCTTCAGTAGAAACTTTACCTCACCGGTACAGAAACAGAGGAAAAGGGAGTTTGAAAGAGAGCTGGGAGAAGAAAAAGAATGAAAGTGAAAGCGAGCACAGATTTAAGTCCTGAAGAATACATCAACTAACCATCAACTTGCACAGAAAGCTAGAACCTATGGTAATCACAGCAGCATAGTTACTGCCTGTGATGAGTGACCATGATGGGTGCTTTTTACAAAACAATAAAAAAACTGGAGGGCACCAGGATGGGGGATATAAAGCGACATGTGGAGACCACATTTCTAGTAGCAGGGAGGGAGACTGGGCTAAAAGGGCCCCACCACTCAGGCTGAACAAGACTGAACAGTGTAATACCTTAACAGTGCTGCTCTTTAGAAAATGTAATTATTCTGATCTATCTTCTAATCCTGAAGAAGCAAACACATTACAGGTACGTAATGTCAAGGGGGTCCAACCAAATGTCTTAACTGTGATTAAATTTTAAATGCTTAAATTTAAACAGCAACTATGGTAGTCATCAGGAGTGGGGTGTGTTAACATTGTGGAAGACAAGTTTAACTAGTTTTCCCATGGCTTCTAAATAATTTACATACATTAATTCAATCAAGCAATTATATCACATTGGTACAGGAAGAGGGGCTGGGACTATTCAAGGTCAAATGCTAAGTTTGGGAACTGTTGTCAAGTTCTTAGATTACCTAATTTATATATTCTAATCATCTAAATGAATATACTTCATCATGTCCTAGTACTTATAGTTCTGGTGGAATTTAGGAACAGATAAACAGATAATTTCTTACATTAAGAACTTCGTTTTCATATTGCTGACATACCAGTCTTTCTTAATAGCTGACCCTTAAGCATTAGCCTCACTTTTTGCACAAGGCTAGGTGGAAGATACACCTAGTCTTGCTAACTCCTGAAGTTAGTCATGCATTCTGTCCCACTGTTTCTGCTGAGTGAATGGCTGCGTTTAAGCTCTCCCCAACTGTTACCTGGCCAGCAGCCCTGTTATGCAGAGCAGAGAGAGAGAAGGAAAGCAGGGCCATACCAGACTCTGCCTCTCCCTCAGCTGTCATTTAGCAATACTATTCTATGCAGCTACAGAGCAGAAAGTGAAAGCAAGCAGGGCCACTCCATCACCTCTGAAAGATGAGATGCCTTTGGCACCCCACAACTGCCACCCAGCAGCAGCCATTCTGTCAGAACACTAGAAATGTTTCCGTGAACTGTCAGCTTCACCAGAACTGGTTATGATAACTAACTTAAAACCTAGTGCCTGAGCTTACTTTCTCCCTTCTCCCTTCCCCATCTGCCCCCCTTTGTGCATCATACCTTACAGACAGCATGATTTACTGACATCCAAAAGCTGTTCTGGAAGCCTTTTGGGCCCAAGATCAGGGTAAATGAGCTTTAAATACACAGTAATGTAAATTTTTAGCACCAATTTCTTTTTTAAAAATTAAAGGCAAACATTTTAGTTCCAATCCTTAATCCCAATCAATAGATACCTGCTTTGAACAGGGTGACTACAAGCCGCCCCTGACATTTCTCATACTATTGAGAACTTATTTTATTTCGTGTGTGTATATATACATATATGTATATGTATATTTTAAATTATTATTATTCTAATGTGTATATTTTAATTTATGTGGTTTTAACTTACTGTTGTAAGCCGCCCCGAGGCTTCAGCGAATGGGGTGGCATAAAAATGTTTTAATAAATAAATAATAAATAATAAATAAATATTGCTTTCTAGAGGTTCACTGTATTTATCTACATAAAGCATTCCTTGTATCTTTCATACAGTACAATAGTTCCAATTACACTGTAAAGCATCCTAGAAGAAAATATTAAGGTATCAAATTGCAGCTTACAGAAAAATGGAGGAAACTACAGTGATCATGGCAGGTGGAAACCATGGTTTTTCCCAGCGCAGGATTTTGTCTGTCACCAGAATCACTTCACCCCATCCTTGCAGCTGCTCTTCCAAGCCAGCTGTTTCTGCAGCCTGTGAACATAAAGAATTAAGATATGCACCCGCAACAGGCAGAAAACATTTACACAATGCAGAGACTTTATGGGGTATAAAGGATATCTTTCTGCAAATAGTGAAATCTCATTTATGTTAACAGCTATATTATCCAACTAATTAGTTTCTTTTCTAATTAGAAGTGAACTTTTAAGTGACAAAATGCTGTTAGCCCCAACCAGGTAAATGGATTGGTTATACTATGCTAGATATGTTAAGACCCAGATACATTTTACTCTTGAAATGTTCCCACTAAAAGATGGGTGGGGGACAATATTCATTTGTTTAGCTTGTAAGACCACACACAACAGTACCAAACAGGACTTCCTGAGCAATATACATTCAACAAAGTAGTATCATAAATTAACCAAAAATTTTAAAAATCTTTTAAAAATATAAATTATGACTGCTACGTAATACCTTAACAAGATTTATCCTAAACCAGGATAATGGCTATATTTAGCCAACATTTAGCCAGTTCTTCCTGGTTGTACCCCTGAAAAGCTGCTCTTAGATTTGGGGACTTTCCAGGACATTGTGCAAGATGGCAGAGGAGCTGTAGGGGGAAAATTACCAGATCATTCAGAACAGCCTTTCCGCCAAGTGGCACTGCAGCTGATAGCTCAGTCCCTTCTGCATATGGAACGAGGCCTGCTATTCATGGAAGGCTGACTCTGGACCCTATTTTAAAAGTCCCTCCTCCTTTCCCTTTATTGCTGATAACTCATTAACCTCTTGGACCTGTTCCAATACCAGGTTTGATCATTTTGTTAGATTTTTCCAAAAAACTTGAAGAAAATGCGATCAATTTAACAGAGGCAAGGGTGTTAATAAATTTTTATTTATTTTTCTGAACATTAAATATTATGCAAGATCTTTGCAGGCTACAATTATGGCTTCTTTCAATGTTCTGCTTTGCATGTGTATATTATATTTTGTTTCTGTTACAATTAAAAAACATATACTTGTAATTAGGAAAAATAGTCAAGTCAGAGGTGAAAATATGATGAGCAGAAAAAAAAAGATGTGGTCACAGAAAACCCTGCAAACTTTAGTTTTTTTCTTAGTTTCAATTTATATCGCTGCTCTTCAGTTCAGCAAGTGATGGGTGTCGTAGCTAATAAAGCCTGGTTCTTAGTCAATTCTCTTTGGGAGTAAATGTAGCACTGTGCAAACTCTTCAAGCATGCCTTTTTGAAAGAGCAAGATCAGAAGAAAATTGGAATTGTTCTTCTAACTCAGTGTAAATGCCTGCTTGGCTATGAAAGTCAGGGAGCGCTCTTGCGTCAGCTGCACTTATCCACACTGTCCCCATAAGACTGTGATAAAAATAAAGGGCAGTTTCTTCACCCCCAGTCAGGCCCGAGTGAGGAGGGACACTGAAGGGCAGAAAATTGTTGTCTCCATTATTGCTGCATTTTTTCTCCCAAGGAGAAGCTCTCACGGTATTTTCTGCAACCAAAATAACTTACCCAGCCTAGGGTATTGGGCCAGTCATGAAGATTTTGCCCTTAAGTCCTCAGGACAAAGAAAACAAACTTGGAAAAACAGCAGCAACGAAAATGTTCACTAACCAATTTGTAGCACACACAAGGCACGCAAGGAGGGGGAATCTAGTGGCCAGAATGGATGCTACTGATCCACACTTCAAATTAAAAAGAAAGTCACACATCAAGTACACTGTAATTAGCCCCACATTGCTCATTAGCCATGTCAGCCGCCCTAAAACACTGCAACTCATCTGACAGCCAAATCCAGTGCATTTCTCCCCACCCCCATAGTTTTCCTAACTCTAAAAGAGGAAGGTGATAATGCAGATATCTGCTGGAAGAAAAGAAAAATTGAATGCAAGCACTTTTTCAAGGAAGCTTAGCTAGAAAATTTGCTTGGTGGTGAGAGGTGACCAACACTTCCACAAGGGCAACAGCTACAGAAAGCAATTACAGCATGCATAAGATATTTTGTCCGCAGGATTACCTATACACACAGATTCCTACTCCACGCTTATTTTGCAGAAAGCGCTGCCATCAGATCATCTGTTTTTCCTGCTCTCACACATTCTCTTTCTCGCTCACCACCCCATGCACTGCCCCAATGCCTTTCTTCTGAGTGACCATGTCTAGGATGCCGATGGAGGCATGCCTTGCCCTGCAAGTCCCAGCGCGATCGCCGCGTTAGCCCGGCTCAGCAGGGACACGCACACCCCCCGGGCGTTGCGGCACCTCAAGCACTAACGGACGAACGGCTGCAGAAGCGTCCACAGAACAGCCTTTCTGTAAGAAAAGCGAGTCGTGCTTCCACCACGGCATGGACATGCCCATACGGAGGTGCACCGGCCCGTTTCTATACGGACACTCAAAGACAACGAGCACGTCACCCCGATATACTCTAACTGACCGACGCGTGTGCCCGGACGCGCTCACACGCGCGGATCAGGCGGCCTCCCCCACCCCAAACCGCCACTAACGCCCGGCCAGCCCCCAAGGGCGCCGCAGCGCTCCCCGCAGCCGCTCTCCCCCCACGGAGAGGCCAGGACAGCCCACGAGTGGCTTTCCCCCCTCAGCCGGCGCCGCCCGGGACCAAGGGGTGGAATCGGGGAAGAAGATCGCCCTCCCCCGCAGCAAGCGCACACAAGGGGCAGGTGACCTGACAGGAAAAGCCCCCCCCCCCATGCCGCCCGCACGACACTTCTCGCGCTGCCGGGGCACTGGGCCCGAAGAGCCGCCCCACCGGCGCCGCTCCACAGCCGAGGCGCGCAGCCCCGCCACCCAGGTGCGCCTCGGCGCTCGCACCCACCAGCTGGTTGGTGCTCCTATTGTCGCCGTCCGCCATTTTGTGCGGCCCAAGAAGCTCGTGCCCGCGGGGCGCACCGTCCCCTCCGACGCCACGCCCAAGCACCGCCTCTCCGCCCGCACCGCCCCTCGTTCCTTTTATGCACGCGCCGCCGCTCTGCCCACTCGCTTTTCGTTTTCTATTGGACGGCAGGGACCAAAGCCCGCCCGCGAGCCCTCCAATCGATGGTGCTCACCGCGCCTCTGATTCGAACGCGGACCAATCGCCACCGTCACCGCCTCTCCTTGCTGTTGCTCAAGTCCTGAGCGCGCGAAGGGGGAGGCGAAGGAACGCTGGGAGCGAGCGCGTTCTTGCTGCTCGAGCGGTTTTTGCGGGGTGGTGGGTGGCAGACGGGGGGGGGGGGGGAGCGGCTGAGGGAAAGCCTATGGCAGCTTCGATAGGAAAAGGCCTACAACCCCCAGCATGCTCCAGGCAGACGTGCTGGCTGTGGTATGCTGGGATTTGTAGGCCTTGCTGTCATGTAAGTTTAGCGCAGAGAAGCAATGTGGGGCAGTGGTTAGAGTGTCGGAATACGGTTCGAGAAGGTGCAGATTCTCGTCCGCCGCTCGGCCATCAAGCTGAGCGGGCGGCTCTGGGCCAGCCTACCTCCCAGGGCTGTTGTGTGGATGAAATGTGGAGGAGCACATTAGCCGCCTTAGGGGTCTTGCAGGCAGGGCCCAACCTGGGCTATAACCCTAATGAAGATATAAAGGCTGCCCAAGTAGGAAAGCCCTTAATGTTTACGGGACAGAGCACCTTCTGCCGTACCCCAGTAAAGGTCAGTAATACTGGTTTTTCCCCAGCAAGTAACTTTTCTGAGGTTATATCCAACGCAGGGAAATGCTGGGTACTCGAGATTTGGGGGCTAGGCCTGCAGGACACAAATTCGCATAGAGAGTATGTGTTCATTTAGCTTTTCTTCTGTGTGGAAGTTAGCCATGGCTACTACGATTTGTTTACAGATGGCAAAGCCAGCCAATTTCTTATCCAAGTCACATCAAATGAAATAAATGAGGGTACCATCCTAAAACAAGGTTAGGCAGAAAAAAGCAGCAACAAGCCATGGGTTCTGGAGTGGGTGCAAAGCCACCCCTACCATGCACCCACTCTGCCTGGTCTGGGTGATACTGTAAGCCAACAAAAAAATGTGATGCACGCTTGGTATGCAGAGAGCAGAGAAAAGATGCCATTTTGGTCCGTTTCCCTGCCCGCAATCCCCACCCAGGTCTTTTATTTAATGAGCTGCTTTGGAGAGAGCACCCGTCCGGTGAAGATTCTATAAGAAAATAAAGTGTTCGGCACTCGGGTCATGGTGCAAGGTCAATAGACACGTCAGGAGAAAAGCGCCTGGGGAGGGTCAGAGCCTCGGCCATGCATTAGTCTTGCGTCTCCCTGCAACAAGAAAGATGTGCGATCTGCCAAGTGTACAAAACAAGGCCACTCTGAAGAATGTTGCAACCACAATGTGCCTGATAAAGGATTCTCAACCTTATTGTGTAACTTAACAGACCCGTGACTAATTGTGCTCACTCATACTTGCACTGCAAGGGGAGGGGGACCGAAAACATCACAAGGGAGGGAAGTCTAGTGATACCTACTGACAAGAAGCAAATGTCTACAGCCTAGATAGACCTGTGTCGAGTTGGTTTTGCCAAAGCCCATGCGCCCCAAATTAGGTACAGGATGTTGCCCTGTTTATTTTCCCTTTGAAATGCATCCAACTATGCTTTTTAAATGTTTAATCACCCACTAGAATGATGGTTTGGACAGAGAGCCCCCCTTCCCCTGCCCTCAGTTTCACTTGTGTTTCCCGTTTCTAGCAATCCACTCATAGCTGTGACATCATTAACCTGCTCTGCTTTCCATTTAGCCTACATACTAGATGGAACTACACACTACATTCTTCCTTCAGAATGGTAAAGTATGCAAAATGCAAACTAGAAATCTAAATTTAGATTCAAAAAGATATTGAGGTGTCTTGAATGTCCAGTTACAATTGTGCATCCCACATTCATAAGGATTGTGGGCAGTGTACCTGGACAAAAATGCTTTCAGCCTTCAACTTTTATTCCCTGGATGAAGCAATGACGTTTCCAAAATATAGTGAAGTTACGTATGTTTGATACAGAGATTACAGATCAAATTCTTGAAAGATCTAACAGTCTTAATGTTAAAGTAAAGCAAATGAATGTCATACAAAGAATGTAAGTACATTTTTAAATCTTTATTACATTATGCAGTTAAGATCCCATCTCCATACACTTTTCATTTCTGGACAGAAGTATAATAATACATGAATTGCAGGTGTACCCTGCCTGCTCCATCCCCAACTTCTGATAAATAAAACATGTAAGCTTTTTAATCCCAATTGTATCTGGATGTAGACTGCTCATCAAGGATGTTTCATATAGGAATTGAAACAAAAGCATAGTCAAGTTTTGTCAGCTGAATTTCACTTGTGTCTTTTTCTTACTCTTGCAATATATAGCAAAGGGTTTGAGAGTACTGGACTGGAATGCATTAACTCACCAACCTTAGTAAATGTATAGGTAGTGCCAAGTAATCAGAATGAAAGATTATGAGCTAGGTCTCTGTAGAAGATCAACAGCATCAACTCCCCCCCTTTATCAGATATTCTGAGGAAACCATGTTTTTCCACATTATAAAACACTGGAATAATTCCTTGTGCTGGGCCTTGACTTATATTTGATAGCTGTGCCTCTAAACAAAGGCTTAAACCTTTTCTTAGACATGCTGTCTGTATTAAAGAGTAAATAACTTACTGTTTCAGCGTGTGTGTGTGTGTTTAAATTCTCAAAAGAGAGGAAAAAGCATAGGATGGGAATCCTGATTTGTCCTCATTTAATGGCTTTTATAACTAATGCATTAAATTCACACATAGATGCAGGGTGGGGAAAGAGGGGAGCTTTTAGCGCCAAAAGTTCAATCTGGATCTTTAAATTCAAGTGATGTTAATTCTAATAACAACAGCAAAAAGGTCAGTTGTATTTTGCATGAGTCTGGAAAGAGCCTGTTACTTCCTTGGCCAAAGCTAAAACAAGCTTATAAGTTACTCATTTTATTTATTTTAGCTTAACAGGCAAGTAAAACACTGAAGACATATGGAATCCAACTGGTTTAAAGTGCCATTTTAATAGCAACTTCTCTCACACCCACCATTCAAAAGTGCAAGGTAGATTTAGGAAAACCTGCTGAGAAATTCACTATGAATGCATTACTGAATACCATCTATTGGAAGTCATATGGAAAAGTAACTCCACACAGATCTTTATACAATTTCACTTGAACAAAGCAAAAACCAGAAAAATCTATTTTAGCTTTATATGCATTTTTAAATCCCCAGACTGAACAGAAATGCTATACATTTACAAGCGTAAAATCAAAATTTGCAGTGAATCAAACAGCATAAAACTATCTCCACTAGAACTTCACTTTATTGATTTTCTGTCATCAACAATTGTAAAAGTCTACTTAGGATACTGTAATCATGTTTTTGTAAAAGGTAAAGATTACATTGGAGTAGCTACATTTACAAAAGAAACTACAGCAAATCACAATAGAATGAGCTTTGGAGGAAAAGGATGGAATTACAAAAAGGAGCATACACTGCAAAGCAGAGGGAAGTGCACATGAAATCAAATGCCTGTTAAGAGTCATTACTTTGAAATGCACAGTGAATCTGGGGGACTGTACATGATAGAATCACAAAAATCACTTTTAAAACAAAAAACCCATCTGCATTTGATCACCCAACTTAAAAATTAGTTGCTTACATGTTCAGCATTCCCTGTGCTTTTGCAAATTTGGTTTGCCAAAAAATATATTAATTTGACTGAACAGTGAAATACAAGGATTGAAATAAAAATGTACTGGAAATATACCTATGCTACAAGAAAAAACCAGAAGTGGGAAAGAACAAACAAAAAAGACAAAGGCTCTCTCTTCTTAGAGGGTTCTTCCAACATGGCTGATGTACAGCTCTGCATTTCAGTCCATTTCTGAAGTTCATCTTATGTAGCATTTTTTTTTTAAATTTTGCACTAACTGGTCAACTCAACCAGTGCTGTTGCCAAGCAACAAGAGTGACTCAAGAAACTCAATCTCTCAAATCTTCCTTTGCTGCCATTTCTTCACGGCCCCCTTTTTTGGGTCCGGTATTTCCTGGATTGTCCACAGGGTCAGGTGGAACTGGGATGCAAATCGCTCTGCGGTCTGTGGCATCCCCAATTTCCTTCCTGCAACTATTTCCCCCCGACACGTTTGCAGTTCTTCTGTTGCAGAAAGACAGCCGTGTTGCTCAGGCGGTGAGCCTTCACCCTTGACCCTGGGGGGTTCCAGGCCAGTGTGTTTTGCGTATCCCTGAGTGCAGCTACTCTGCAGGACTCACTTTCCCAGTGCACCGAGATGGCCTAGGTTTCCTCACATTAAGCCCCAGAAAGGCATCACCACCGACCGTGGTGCTGCTATGGATGCCTGAGGCCGAGTTGATTCTGCTGGATGTCTGACCTTGCTGAACCAGACTGACCTGCTATCTTTCTGTTCATACCCAGGCTGTCCAACCTTCATACAGCTGAGCCAAGTTATCTAGATTAGTTGCTTCCTTAATCACATAGTCAACCTATGGAATTCAATTTGAAAAGAAGTTAGCGCTTTAGGTTATTTTCCCACAGAGAAGTTTTAAGACCAGCTTTGTCAGAACAAACCTGTCATTGTTACTTTGCAAAAGCTTACATTAAAAAGGAATGGTTTTACAGGTAATGTTTGCAGAAGTATTTAATTCAGTTACATCACAGTGGCTTGGATCAGAGCTAATAAACCATTCTTGTTCCCTTAACGAGCTGGCGTGAGCCTCAGCCTTGCACATGCATCAAAGAAGGTTTAAATCTGTCCTGCCCATTTCTAATTATTCAAACACTGCATTTTTATGTTTATATGTAAACCAGGCCAGAGGGTCTCCTAAGAAATAAATTCTCAGCCAAGGCTCACTTCAAGCCAGAAGCCAGCTTCATCATTGTTCTGAAGGTTGGAGGGTGCCAATCATTTGC